CGCCCTCTTTGTCCGCGGGCGACGCCCTGCCCGGGGCCGCGGCGGCTTTGCGGGGCCGCCCGGTGCCAGCCCAGCCGGGAACCCCCGCCCCGGAGGGGAGGGGCCTGGCTCCGGGTCACCCCACATCCAGGACCCGGACCCAGAGCGCGCCCCTTCCGCCCCTCCTCCTCCTCCTCCCCCGGCCTCCCCGGCCCCCTCCACCTGCGCGGGCGGAGGCCTAGAGGTCAGGGGGGCGCAGTGGCCGGAGTACCCCAGCACCCCGAGTTTTATAAGCGCCCCTCTTTGCAGAGGCCGGTCAGAGGCGCCGCCTTTCGGGCTGTGGAATCAGAACAGTAAGGGTGTTTGCTGCGGCGCAGGTGCTGGCCCGAGGCCTCAGGCACCCGCCTTGGAGGGTCAGCGGCCGCCCCGGCGGGGGGTGGGGTGGGGGGGAGCCTGCCTCGCCTTCCAGCCCAGGGCGGGAGCGGGACAGTCACAGCGCCCCCGTGAGCAGCAGGGGGTGGCGGGTTAAGGAGTGGGGGGGTCTCCCTAGGGAGAGAAATGGGGGCGCCCCTCCGCGTTCTCCAGAACCCGGCACGTGGCAGGTGCTCCATCAAGAAATACCTACTTTGTGTTGCATGACGGAGGTGCGACTTGAGCCGGGTGGGCGCTGGCTGAGCCGAGGGGGGTGGAAAGATGGGAGGGGGTTGTCCTGAGCCTGGCAGGAGCCCGGGGTGGGGTTGGGGGTGACAGGGTAGCAAGGGTCCACCAGAGAGAGAGGCTCCAGACTGGGTCTCCGTGGAGAGAAGGGTGGCCGGGCAGGGACGAGGTGGAGGGGAGTCTGAGGCCTGGCGTAGGGTCCCCGAGGGCAGTGGGGCCCGAGCTGGCCCCCCCAGGTGGCGAGGCGGGCGGAAGGACCGTCCCTGCGTGCAGAGTGTTTACTGCACGGAGCGCGAGCCCTGCATCCACAGCACCTGTTGGCCCAGGCGGCGGCCCCGCTGCTCTCCGGCGCCCCCTAGAGGCTGAGGATGGTGGCGTGGGGAGGGCTGCAGCCCCAGCCCCAGCTCTCAGCTGTTTCGTGTACCTTTTGTCTTAAAAACTTAAAATGGCAAACAGTAAGGGTTTGTAAAAGGAAAGGCCTCCTCCCCCTTCTTTCCCTCCCTCTGTCCCCCCTCCCTCCGTCCCCAGAGGAGGGTGTCCTGACCAGCACCCCCCTCCCCCATACATTTTTAAAACTGTGTGAATAATAGGCCAGGTTTGGGTCTGTTTCCTTTAGTGACGAATCACCCTGTAACTGTTGTTCTTTAACGTGCCTGTTGGAGACGCTCCCAGTCCAGCAGGCTCGTAACGCACATCCCATAATACCCCATCGAGCCCGTGTTCCCCATCTGGACGGCCATTGGGGTTGCTGCATTCTGCTGTTGTAATCAAACCCACTTCTGTGCACACAGTTGCGTAGGGGGGGGTGGCAGGCTGAGTCCCCGTTGGCCTGGGGTTAAGGCTGCCGACGTCGGTGCTGCACAGGCGGCCGGCAGCGCGCGCGGGGCCGGGTGGGAGCTCGGCGGGGCTGTGGCCTGAGACTCCGAAGTCTGGACTCAGACTGAGCAGGTGAGTTGCTGGTTTGGCTTCTGGACCGGAAAAGGCTGTGGTCCGCGCAGGCCCAGAAGTGCCCAGTAGATGGCGCCAAAGTCTGCAGAGCCCGCGTTTCTGACAGTGGTTCTCAACCTTCTGGCCCTTTAAATACAGTTCCTCATGTTGTGACCCAACCATAAAATTATTTTCGTGGCTACTTCATCACTGTCATGTTGCTACTGTGATGAATCGTCATGTAAATATCTGATATGCAGGATGGTCTTAGGCGACCCCTGTGAAAGGGTCGTTCGACCGCCAAAAGGGGTCGCGACCCACAGGTTGAGAACCGCTGTGGGCAGCCATGCATGGTTCTGCAGAGAGCCAAGGTGGGGGCTGAGACTCCAGCTGGGGGACAGCCCAGGGAGGGGCTGCTTTCTCCTAATTCACACCAGTTCGCAAAGTGCCTGCAGCGGCAGAGTGGGGGAACCACAGGTGGACAGACCCAGGCCTCGCTAACACTGCCCAGGGTCCCTCCACGTCAGGTGGGGTGACCTCGGTATAAACTGCAGCCCAGCCGGGCTCTGCGAAACTGCCCCTCGGGACAGGTCTCGTCACTGTCAGCATGGTCTCCAAATGTATTCTGAATCCCACCCCCGTCTTTACTGCACCCCCTAGTTCCAGTCACTTCACCTGGGCAGTTCACCTGGGCCACTGCCTGGCCTCCTGCTCCTGCTTCCCCACTCTCCCCAGAGCAACCAGGACATCTTCTGAAATGTAAGCCAGACTGTGTCACTGCTGGGTGTGAGGCCTTCCCGCCAGGACTCGCACTGCACCCGGCCTAGAACCCAGGCCCCTGGCCCCTGCCTTGTCCCCGCTTGCTTCTCTGTCCTCGGCCCCACTGCCCTGCCAGCTCCCTTCTAGTTCACCGGCATCTTCACACAAGATCAACAGGGTCCCTCCCGCCCCCGGGGGGTGCGGGGTGGGGAGGAGGCTTCTGCACGTGCTGTCCCCTCCCAGAGGCTCCAGCCCCACATCTGCATCATCATTCAGGCCTCAGACAAAACACCCCGTTCGGAGAAGCCTGTCTTGATCTTGACCTGGCAGAGGAGCGACTGGCCCAGCGTGGCACCTCGCCATGACGGCCTTCACCGCTTTCATGATCGGACATGATTTCCTCCTGGTTTACGGGGTGTTTCTGCCTGGCCTCGGGGCTCCATGTCCCCAGGACCACCAGCGTCTGACACTGGGAGAGCAGGTGACAAGGAGCTGTTCCCTGGATGCTGCAGAGGCCCTGGTGGGCGCCCGGGGGCAGCCCTGAGGGCGAGAAGCCACTGTGCTCTGTGCACGCAGCCCCTCCCCTCCCAGCCGGGCGGGGGTCTGAACGAGGCCAGCTTATCTCCAGCACCTCCCCTCCCAGCGCCAAAGTCCACTCCGCTTCCGGCTCTGGGGAGATGCCACCCCTTTGGGGAACCACCCGCTCCCACTTCACCTTCCGGGGGAGCTGGAGGAGGGGGGTGGGCATGCAGGGGAGGTGAGCGGTGAGCACTGGCCTCTTGGTTCGTCAGTGAGAACAGGGCGCAAGCCGAGAAAAACGCCCGTGTGTTCAGAGCTGGCATCCAGGTTCCCAGGGGGCCCACGTGTCCCCCACCCTCGCCATGGGCCATGGGCCCAGAGCCACGTCAGGAGCCTCCCTCTCCCGGATCCTCTAGCCCCGTGGTCGGCAAACTGTGGCTCGAGAGCCACATGAGGCTCTTTGGCCCCTTGAGTGTGGCTCTTCCTAAGCCTTAGGAGTACCCTAATTAAGTTAATAACAATGTACCTACCTATATAGTTTAAGTTTAAAAAATTTGGCTCTCAAAAGAAATTTCAATCGTTGTCCTGTTGATATTTGGCTCTGTTGACGAATGAGTTTGCCGACTGCTCTGGCCTGATAACACTGCTTACTGCCCACTGGTTGCCAAAGGCGTTTTACACACACACCTCATTCAACCTGCCAAGAGGATTACAAAAGAGGAAGCCCATAAACCAGGGTTGGAGAGGGCTGCACCCAGAATCCTGGCCACACTGGCCCACAGCAGACAGATGGGGACAGCGCAGGCAGGGGGGGAGGGTAGCCCAGAGGTGCACAGGAGACCAGGAGGGGGGCTGGAGGCCGAGTGAGCAGAGGCTTTTGAGAAGGAAGCAGCGACCAGGGTCAAGTGGTGCAGGGCGGCCAGGGCGCAAAGGAGCCCGGGGCTTTACCCAGAGGCAGCTGGTGACCTCCGGAGGGGCAGACGCCAGCCTGGTGTTGAGAGGGACATAGGAGCTCGCTCGAGCTCAGGGGAAGTGAGCTTTTTTGCCTTTAAGGTGACACTGGATCCTGTTCCCATGGCCAAAAAGAGGACCTAAATGATGCGGGAGGATGAGGGAGGACCCTGGGAGATGGGGAGGGATGCACAGCGGAGACCAGGGCCTCCTCCCCTGCTGGTAGGAGGCGAGCTCACCTGCTGGAGGTGTGGTCAAGGGGCACTGGGAACGCAGGGCCTGGACCAGGACCCTGGAGAGAGGAGGGAGAGCCTCCCCAGCAGCCCTTTCGGCCGCATCTAAGCAGGTCCCAGGCTGATGCTTTTCTCCTGCAAACCCTGTTATGGATGGAGGTGGCCGTCTCCACCAGGGCTGGTTCGAACCCTAACACACATAGATCACGGAAGAAAACTGCTGCATAAGAGCCAACAAAAACCTGGCAAACAGACCAAAAGGGGAGCCACAGGCGTGTATTTACGGTAGGAGAGCCCGATCGCACGGAAGCAGACACATCAAGGCCCCGCAGAAAGGACGGGAGGAAACCAGGAACTTCAACCGTTTCCAGGTAAGATGACTGGGTGGCTCCAGATCCAGTTCTGGTTCTGCTGCAAAATAAAACCACAATGAGACAGCCCTTCCCAACCATGATGACGGCCATAAAGACAACCACAACAGACAGACAAATACAAGCGCTGGAGGGGGTGTGGGGGAGCAGGAGCCCTTGGGGAGAATGTGAAATGGTGCCGCCACTGGGGGAAAGCATCACAGAGCCCAGTAATTCCACGCCTAGGTGTGTATATGCCCCAAGGGAATAGGAACAGGTATTCAAACAAACCCTTGTATTCAAACACGTGCTCAGGATGTTCCTAACAGCACTGTTCACAACAGCCAAGAGAGGGAAGCAACCCACCCAACTTCCCTCAACCAATGAATAAACAAACGGTGGTGCGCCCACAGAATGCGTTACCATTTGGTTACAAGCAGCAATGAAGGGCTGATAGATGCTGTAACTCGAATTAACCTTGAAAACATTATACCCAGTGAAAGAAGACACATGTTGTGTGAGTCCTCATACAAGAATTATCCAGAGGGGCAAATCCATGGAGACAGAAAAACAGATCAGTGGCTGCCAAGGGATGGGAGGAGGGGGAATGAGAAGAGATTTTTAAGGGTTATGGGTGTTCTAAGGTGAAAAAGTTATATATATTTTATTGGTTTTTTACAGAGAGGAAGGGAGAGGGATAGAGAGTTAGAAACATCCCTGAGAGAGAAACATCGATCAGCTGCCTCCTGCACACCTCCTACTGGGGATGTGCCCGCAACCCAGGTACATGCCCTCGACCGGAATCGAACCTGGGACCCTTCAGTCTGCAGGCCGACGCACTATCCACTGAGCCAAATCGGTTAGGGCCCAAAGTATATTTTAAAACTATAATTTAAAATGTAAAATTAACAGGTAAATGGAACAGAATTCAGAAGCAGTCTCATATATATATGTGGAATTAAGCAACAGCCATAAAGAAAAAATGGAATAAAACTGATAACATAGTTTATAACCTCTATGACCAAACAGTCTCTCTCTTTCTCTCTCTCTCACACACACACCACCATAAACAAAATTAACAGACTAGCAGTAAAGTAGGAGAAAATACTTATATGTAATGTATGACTAGTATACAAACTGTTTTAAATGTTCATAAATCAATATAAAAGAGTACCCAGTTGAAAAATGGGTCGAGGACACAAATAGGCAATTTATAGGAGAGGAACTACAAATGACCAATACAAATAGATGCTTAATCTTATCACTTATCAGGGAAACACACATTAAAAAAAAAACCAACTACTTCACTTTTCACCCAGCAGATTGACCGGTTTAAGTTAGATAATATCAGCTGCTGACAGGGCCGGACTACCAGCGGGAGGGGAAGTCAGCTCCGCCACACCGAAGACCAGGAGGCCGGGTCGATGAGAACTCACGCACAGAACTTAGGACCCAGCAATACCACTCGTGGTACCTACTCTTCCAAGGCTCATGCAGATTTGCAGAAAGACATGTAAAGGGTGTTCACTGGGACACCACTTACAGTAAGAAACCGGAATTGCTCACCAGTGGGGCTCAGCTGGTTGCATGTTGTCCCAGGCACCAGGAGGTCACCGGTTCCATTCCTGGATTCCCGGTCGGGGCACCTGCCGGGTTGTGGGCTTGAATCCCAGGAGGAGGCATGCAGGAGGCAGGCGATCCATGTTTCTTTCTCATGGATGTTCCTATCTTTCCCTCCCTCTCCCTTCCTCTCTCTGAAATCAATAAAATAATTAAAAAACAAAGAACAGCCGAAACCGGTTTGGCTCAGTGGATAGAGCGTCGGCCTGTGGACTGAAAGGTCCCAGGTTCGATTCCGGTCAAGGGCATGTACCTGGGTTGCGGGCACATCCCCAGTGGGAGATGTGCAGGAGGCAGCTGATTGATGTTTCTCTCCCATCAATGTTTCTAACTATCTATCTCTCTACCTTCCTCTCTGTAAAAAATCAATAAAATATATTTAAAAAATACACACACAAAAAACAAAAAACAAACAAACAAAAAAAGAACAAAAAACCCACAACCAACCAACTCAGAAGCAACCTAAAATGTTCATTAACAGAAAAACGCCCGGAGAGCCGCTCTACAGATGACAGCAGATGTGAAGAACACAGCGGTCTATGCTTACAGGAAAAATTCTCCAACACAACCTGGAATTTTAAAAGTTGCAAAATGTAGGCCTTCTGAATCCTGTTTACATTTCGGTGTCTTGCCATGCACCCCTCCCCCCAGTTGTATGGAGATATTTAATCTTGGCGAAGAGTAGAAATAGTTGTGATTGTATAGACATGCCATTAGAGAAAGGCCTTTAGAAATCAGCATTCGTAACTGAACTTGTACTTGCTCTTTTCCTAACCAGACTGGCAGCCGCCATTCACCGGAGGCCGAACCTGGCAGTCACACAGAAGCTTTGGTTATGGCTCTGGGATGAGTTAACCGCTCCAATTTATACCTTCGCCCCCCCGCTCCAATTTATACCTTCGCCCCCCAGGCTGGACAGCCCAAGTCCAAATGCCAATGTCAACCTGGGAGAAAGTGAGCCACTTATAGTTTCCTGGCACTGAATGAAGTGCCCGAATCACGGAACAACTTTCAAGTGGCACGTCAACTAATAAAAATGGAGCGAATGCTTTCCTCTTTCATGACAAAACAGACCAAGCCAATAAGCACCTGAAACAGTAACAACAATGCAGTCAAAATAAGCTGTTAAAAAGGACAGCAAGCAACTGGGTCTTTTAAAAGCTTTCGCTAGGAAAGATGAAGAATCCTGGGAAATCTATGCGAGAGAGAAGTCCAATACTGATCTCATTCACATCCTGAAGTCGGTATATGCCCATGAAGATTGCCTCCACCCCAAGTACACACGCACGCGCACCTTCTTAGGTTGCTGACAGGAATGAATTTGTTTTATTTTTTAAATATATCTTTATTGATTTCAGAGAGGAAGGGGGAGGGAGAGAGACAGACAGAAACATCAATGATGAGAATCACAGATCGGCCACCTCTTGGCATGCCCCCCACTGGGGACTGAGCCCACAACCCAGGCACGTGCCCTTGACCGGAATCGAACCTGGGACCCCTCAGTCCCCAGGCCGACGCTCCATCCACTGAGCCAAACCAGCCAGGGCCTGACAGGAGTGTTGAACTGAGCAAAAGCTGGGGACAGCCGCAAAGCTGGCTTTGGTTGCAGACTGTTGCACACTAAGCCCCAAGAAATGATTGGCGATCACCTATGGTTCTGAACCGGCTGCTTCTCCCTCGGCCCTGACGGATGGCTCAGCGTCGGCAGCACAACTTCCAAGATGCGCTCCCACACACTGCTTCCTGCACTGTTCTCTGGTCTGGCGGCAGGGTCCCCAGCACAGCCAAAGCCAAGATGATCTCATTGTGTCTCCAAATCTCAGAAGAAAAAGAAAAATCCATGTCTGAGCCCCTGCATGCCAGCGGGGTTGTCAGTGGGGTGGGCACTGCACACCACCCTGCCTGGGCACGCTCCTCGGCGCCACGCTCAGGGGCTGTGCTAAAGCGGCCGCCTCCATGGACAGCAGGACATGCTACCCACAAGCGGGCAGGGGAAATCATCTTTTTTAAAAAAATAAAATGTATTTTATTGATTTTTTAAGAGAGGAAGGGAGAGGGATAGAGTTAGAAATATCGATGGGAGAGAAACATCGATCAGCTGCCTCCTACACACCCCCTACTGGGGATGTGCCCGCAACCAAGGTACATGCCCTTGACCGGAATCGAACCTGGGACCTTTCAGTCCGCGGGCCGATGCTCTATCCACTTAACCAAACTGGTTAGGGAGGGGACATCATCTTATAGAAGCCAGTGCTTTCCATTCACCAGCAAGTCTGAAAAGTTTTAATCTGTTTAACTAATGAGGTTAATTCACAGCAAAACGTAAATAATCAGCCAGAAATGGTTTGCTCGTTTTCTGATTTAAAACAGAAAAGATCATTTAAAACATTCCTTCTTGTCCTACCCAAGTGATGAGATGCAGAACTAACGCTTCAGAGAGGAACTTATCAATGAAACATCAACAAGTTACAGATAAACATTTTAATTGATTAAATATATATTTTCCAAGATCTCTTTGAAATCGCATTTGAACTGTACTAATCAACAGCCAAAGGCAATATAAAAGTTTAAACCAACAATGTTCTGACATGGACAGGTGACAGGAACCGCTGCTATGTGAAGTCACACACACTGCTCCCAAGAACGATGATATTTTAGAAGATAATCCATCTTAACATGTGCAAGGACAAGTCTGTAATCAAAGGCTGGAAGAAATATATATTAGTGCCTGCTTTTTCAAAGTTTATTTTACATTTTAAATACAGTATTTTCTCATTAAAAAAACAAAACAAAACACAACAAAACAGCCCGGAAGTGCCTAACACCATGGTTTCTAGACCGTATGTACATGAGAGCTGACGGACAGCTGACAAGTGCTCTAATGTAACAGTGTGAACGTCTATGAGCTGAAACTAATCAAAATGAAAAAACACAGGTTAAGCACTTCTTAGGAAAAATAATCCAGTTTCCAAACAACAGAAAACAGTTAGGTATGTACAAAACCAGGTATTAAAAAAACAGAAAGAACGCAGCACACAAAACCAACAGCCCCTTCCTTATGTAGTGAACTGTACCCACTGCAGGGGAGCCCTCCTACAGAGTGACTTAGGATCTGACACGTAAAAAGTGGAAGTATTTCAGTAACAACATAGAGTAACATTACGTGTGTATATTGCCATCGTTGTCATTTTCTATCTGTACTACCCTCCCTCTGAAAACAAGAATCTCTAGACTAGTCAATCACTTATATATATCGGAGGCAATTAATCAACCCACATTTGTTTCCAGTGAAGAAAACGAAGGTGTACCTCTTCCCATCAATAAAAACATAATACAGACTAAAGCCATACAAAATTTCAGCGTGGGCATATGCACTTCCGATTCTCTAGTAATTCCAAACGGAAGTCCTGGAGGGTTTGTGCCTAAGGAGTAACCAATTAAAAATGGGCCGTCTCTGGCAGTGATCTCCACATTAGTGCAATGTTATTCTTCATACACTGAATTATATTTAAATGATTTTCTCTATTTTTAATTCAGTGGGTGGCAATTTGAGTTTACAAAACTGTTTATGTAACTATATGCTTGTGTAGAAAACAGTTTCAATTGGAGATGCTCTTACACAAAGCCAAATCAAGACAAATATGAGTGGCTTTTGGGCTGCTACAGGCAGTATACACACCAAATGAAGAGGCCCGCGAGCCGTGGAGGCGAGGGTGTTGAGGTGGTCTGCGTGTGCTGACACTTGCATCAGCAATCGGGTGTGGACATTCTATTTTAAGATCATCTCAGAAAGTAACTCCCTGTAATGTAACTCTGAACTAAGCAGCTGTTCCCAAAGCAAAAACCAATCTGGGTCATTCACAACCACATCAAATTGAAGCAACTATTTCCCACTATAATCTGTGAGGTCTCGAATTTTTAAGTTTTAAAAATCGTGATCTTCCCAGTTGTGTGCCTCGGGTAGAACACTAACGTAAGGATTTCACGAGAGGGCGCTGTAACGGTGGGCTCCATAAACACATCGGGCAGGTAGCAGGGGACTAACCCAGCGGGGCTCCACCGCGGGATGTTTATTCTGGAGACTTTAAAGATGTAACACGCAGCTCACGGAACTTCCGCATCCTCTAGGGATGCTGCTGGTCGGCACCGAACGGCGGGCTAGGTCTGGGAACCCCTTTACCCCCAAGGATTAATGCTAAATGGTCTCCAGGAAGTCCCGATTCTCAACAAGAGTTCACAAACCATCAGACCACAACCAACAGGGCAAACACTCACTGCAATGCTCCACAAAAGTCAAAAGAAACTTCCCAACTAAATGCCATCTTCTGCCCAGCCCTAGGCTCCAGGCTCTGCAGTAACATCTTTATCTCGTATAATAGACTCTGTAGTAGACTGACTTTGACCTCCACAAAGAGTAGGAGTTGTCGAACTTGAGGAGGTAGACTCCTCTCCCTGGGTATTGGTGGCTGCCGGCGTACACCTCCTCGTGACAGTCCCGTCGGTACACAGGCACAATCTCGTCCAGCAAGGGCTTGTTGGCATCCTTTTTGGCTTTCTCTTCAGAAGGGATGTTTTCTGTGAGAAAGACGAGAGACAAATCATGCATTTCCATCAAGCACTGAAACGCCATCCTTTCTTTCAGAAACTGCTTGTTAGAAATTCACTTAAAAAAAAAAAAATTCGCTTGCCCTAGCCAGTTTGGCTCAGTGAGTAGAGCATCGGTCTGCGGACTGAAGGGTCCCAGGTTTGATTCTGGCCAAGGGCATATGCCTGGGTTGTGGGCTCCATCCCAGTGTGGGGCGTGCAGGAGGCAGCCAATCCATGATTCTCTCTCATCATTGATGTTTCTATCTCTCTCTCCCTTCCTCTCTGAAATCAATAAAGATATATTAAAAAAAATTCACTTGATCCATTCTGACCTATGTGCATTCGAGCGTATATTGATTAGTTGGTTTGCTCATTCATTCATTCATTCATTCACTCATTCATTCACACATATGAGTCACTGCTATGTGCCCAGCTCTGCCCGGGCCCTGGGAGCCCAGTGGTGAACATCTGGCTGTGGAGCGGCTGCATTCTCTCCCTCTCTGTACTCTATCACTGCTTCTATTTGTGAGCCTCACTTTCCCCTTCCAATCCATTCAATTCCCAACTGGAAGGCTCTCCCTCATCTGCGTAAGGCCACAGACTCCTCCTCCTGCTCACCAATCTGGAAGTCCTCTCTGCTGTAGGAAGGGAGGCCACCTAGGAGCACTATTATCTTAACTATAAGGAATGAGATGAGAAAACCGTAAGAGGTAGGCACTCAGAGACACTCTGACAATTCAATTATGTTCACTAGGCCTGTGTAATCTAGGGATGATCCCAGTGACAGAAATATGAGCTCTGGTTCTAGGCTGGCCCCAGTCAATAGTTTCAGTGTAATGACATAAGGTTAGAGGAGAGGAAGACAGATATAGAAACCTACAGGAAGGAGACAATTATATACCAGTTCAAAAGTCTCAGCTTAACATATTAAATATAAACAGCTTCAAGGGAAATAGGTCAAGGGAATGTTCAGCATAGAAGATAGAAGACTTTCAGGTTTATAAGACGGCAGAGTGAATGTGGTGACTGCGTTAACTGCGTGGTGACTGTCCATGGCTACTACCAGGAATTTTAACAAAAAAGTCTGACAAACTCTCAGAGTCTAGAGGCGCTTAAGGCAACATGATCATGAACTCTATATACTGTGGCATCCTCGATGGGATCCTGGACATTAGGTAAAAACTAAGGAAATGTGAAAAACGATGTACTTCAGTTAATAATAATGTATCAATACTGGCTCATTAGAAATGATGAATGTACCACAGTACAATGTACAATATTAACAACAGGGGAAATTGGGTGCAGGGGTGGGGAGGGTGGGGGTATAATATGGGAATTCCATGTACTATCTTTGCAACTTTTCCTATCAGTCTAAAAATATTCTAAAAAAGAAAGTTGTTAAAAAAGAAAAAAAAGAAAAAAGGGAGGGCCGGGGAGAGTGGGGGGGCGGAAGGGGGGGTGGGAGATCAGCCGAAGGACTTGTGTGCATGCATATAGGCATGACCAGTGGACATAGGACACTGGTGGGTGGGGGAGGCCAGGGGATTGTCAAGGGCGGGGGGAAAAGGGAGACATTCTAAAAATATTCTAAAAAAGAAAGTTGTTAAAAAAAAAAGATGATATAAACAGGCCTAAATCAGATCACAGCAATACTTAAAAATTAATGTCCTTCATTTACAAAGGAGAAATACAAAGTCATTCCAAATGTACACTGTTGCCTAAAAGGATATCCATGAAACAGATTATTGGTCCATTAGTTCAAGACCCAAATTTTGTTCAAAATCTGTAAAACTAGTTACTAGGATGGATGAACAATGCTTCTTTCATCACTTTAAGCAAAGACTTGGGACCTGGAAGCGAGAAAGTGGAGACTTACAGTAGGAAGATGGTTACACCCACCATACTTCAGAGAAAACAAACTCCTCTTTCAAGACCGAATGGAGAAAAAACCACAGCAACAAACAAAAACCCGGACTCCCATCTACCTGAGCTGAGAGGATCCCCAGGAAACACAATGTGGACAAGCCTTGGTGGCTCAGTGGCCTCCCCAAGGAGGCACATGCATAGGGACCAAGCAGCTTGTGAGCTGCCCCTTCCAACAAGAGGGAGTTGTACGCACGCCCAGCAAGCACTTCCTGGGGACGACCAATGCTCACAGTGGCTACTTCACATTAACACAGAGGTTTCATGGGTTAGTGTTAGCTGCCAATTGTTTTAAGGTTCAAAACAGCACCAGGAAGGTCATGCCATCTTCCACTTGAGGGGCATTCTAGATTAGATTTGGGGTATCAGGGTTCTCACCTCCAGATAGGTCCCAGCCATGCTTACAGTGCTCCTCCCAAGAGCAATAACCCCAAATTATTCTAGCTGAGGCTCAGACTAGGAAGTGACCTACTTTTAGAAGCTCTTCAGCGGGCAGCCAGGAGAAATACTCCTGTACCTGCTCCAGAACAGAGAACTCTTC